TGCGTGAATACGTGTAAATACGGTTTCCAGTGATACTGTAAGGATTCTTGCGTCTACACAGTCTATTAATAGCCAACATCAGTCGCTCTGAGAAAGTGCAAGTCACGCCACGCAAGCAATTTCTACCCAGACCTTTGATCACTAGATCAAACTTATCCCTCCATACTTTGTGTGAATAGCATAAATCGCCACTAACTGTTGCGCAAAAAGTCGTCAACCATAGTTTTACCCTGCGGTCAGGATTCCTAAAGATTGCTCTTTCCCTTTTCTTTAGCGATTGACTTGTGCCGTTGTCATCAATCAGCTTTCTTTTGATTGATTCTCGTTGACATTCATTCGGTTGCAGGGATTTTCACCTTTCTTAGATTTTAAGAGCTAGACAGGTCTCGGGTTGCTCTGAGATTCTGCTTATGTCCTCATGCTTAGATAGACTGCGTGACATCCACTGGAATCTTTTTGAATGTTGACACAGCGCCCGGATATTCTCATCAAATTTTGTCAGATTTTACGCCACTTCAGCGCTTTCACGTGGCCGCACATCCTAATTCTTTATCGAATCTCAAACGTTTTGTGCCTTGGGAATGAAACAGATAGTAGCCAACCCTGGTTACGACGATGCTATGGTCAGTGCTTTTCTGCGGTTCATAGTATAATACTACAACTACTTATTGCCAAGAGGATTGTCAAAATTAGGTCTACTACTAAAGAACGTTTGAGGGCAGCGGAAGACATAACAGTAACGTACCTGAAGTTCGGTAGCGGAACGATGAAAGGCGAAGTGATTAACCAATGCACTTAGCAGAAAGCAGATGGGCGAGAAATGTACACATACCATGCGAATGAAACCAGCCAGCTAGCTCGGGAGACGTAGTCACACAGCAAATATTATCGTCGGAAATCGGCGCAATGAAAGAGGCCATTCTTCATACGAACGGACACAACATTTAATACCGAGCTTACATTATTTACAACGCATTATAATGGCCACGGAAAACAAATCCGTAGTTTCTAAATGTTGTTGAGGCATACTATGATAGGCTCCAAGATACTTTGCAACATTTCTTCTTCCTTTGACACACAAAAATATGATGGTTTGCGTGGACATAAATCATGTACACGGCCTTATTTCGATATATCAGTGAGTGCAAAATTGACCTCACAACCGCGTCAGCCGTGTAAAGTGAGTTCCCATTTTTTCTTTGACCTATACTACCTGGATTACCGCGCCCAAAGAGCTCCATTGGGTAACTCTACGAATGAACCGGTAGCTTACACTATACGGCGGGCTTAAGACGCATTCTTACTGTCAGAAGATTGTGGGCTGCTTTCACTGTTCTTCCCTTCGCAGCATCCGCAGTGCTACGAGTATCAGCATCACCGCATCGGTGAGTTCAGCGGGAAGGTGATACAGTAGAGATTTGACCTGCTTAGAGGTCAAGGCAATGAATACACAAGGTAGGAGCTGATTTTACACTTTACTAGCTCTTTGAAAAACTCAGGAGACAAGTAAAATGCCTTAATTTTTGTCGCCCTACACAAGGCAAAGCCAATGGCACAATGTGACTCCTAGAGGTGGAAGTTCGACCTATCTTTCCAATGCACTGGTCATGGTGCACACATGATAAGCGCCAGCGTTCAATTCGGTAAAAAGCGTATTCCAAAGGAGCAAAGGAGTCGATAGTCAACATAGGCATGATGATCAAAAAGTTGACCTTCGTAATTCCGAGGACCGGTAGTAGGGGACGGAGCCTGAGTCGTCTTGATTCAGCCTGACGTTTTCAATTGGCGTGACAAAAACTGAGAGGATAATAACGATCTGAACTTTTAAATAGATATATGCAGTAAAAAGCTGTTTAGCCCCTTTGTAAGGAATGGCGTCACACAGGGAATGATAATAGGTCACGCGCTACCTTATTTACCCATTAGCAGTACACCCCGGATGGTTAGCTCAAAATTTCTGCTTTTCGTCGATGACCTCAAGATGTTACCGGTAGATTCCGTTCTAATCTACCAGGATCTGAATAATCGGCAAGATCATAAAATGCATCTCACAATCAACCATAAGTGTCAGCACCTTCACAGAGATACCTTCGACTGTCAGTATACTTACAGTGTTAGTGGACTGCTGGTGCCCAGGTAAGCGGCAGTAGGAGACCTCAGATTCTGAAACCTTATTACGACTTCACACAACCGACCGCAGGATTATGGGTACTGAGGTGTAGGTCTGCGTGCCAGACTGATGATACGGTGATAAGGAAAATTTTGACTTTCATAAAGTCTATTCCGGATCATGAAGAACCGGCACAGTTTACTGCGTTTAAAGCAGACAACGTGCTACTGGAACACATAAGGAGGCTAACCACCGGAAAGATACCAGAAATGCACACCATTGGCCATCTTGATAGTTGTCTATACCTGAGCCTCCAAGTCAGTCAGTCAACCAATTCTTTAGCTTACAAGCCGCGCACCGAACTGCATGGGTTTCAGCTACTACAGGGTTAGGAAAATAAGGGGAGATGAGAGCGACTTGGTTCAATCTGTCCATTGACATCAACCGGATCTGTTTGTCTAGTATGGTAAGAATTGAGTTACTCAGTGAATGCGTTAGCTTTGATGCAACAGCAGGGATCTTCACCAGCAACTGAGTGTCAGATGGTTCGACCGAGTCCACGGCTGGTCCGCATTTGGTAGCTTCAAAGTTACACGGTTGGAGCATCTATTCCAAAAGTTTGTGCCGATTAGAAAACAATGTTCAGCACATAACTGGAAAAGTTTTCCATATCAGATAATCAGTGAGTGTCAATTCTGAACGAGCAGCCGAAGGAAATCTCTTCAGGAACAGGTCAGCCAACGCTGGTATTAATGCTACCTATTCAAACCACAATAGCTGTGCTTCTAGCTGACCGAAGCGACCACAACAGGTCTCGGGGCATCATTCTTAGTACCAGAGCTGTCGGCTGTCGGAGTGCATGGCGACACAGCGAAAAAAGTGATTAGTTGCCTCGGGGTTCATTGATCTTGATTCAACCAGTCAATCTTTACTGGAATCCAGTCCAGTAAGGCACATTCAACCTTGGTGCTCAGGACAACTCGCACGCGGTTGATAACACAAGACGTTGCGCTAGAATCACCAGGAATTGGAAAAGGAACGTGCGGGAAATTTGGGATAATTCCGAGTGGTCGTGTTTTGGAGACACGAAATACATCGATCGGAGAAGATAAGGTCTAAGTAACAGCTAAATGTTGCCCTATTTAACACATAATATCGTTGTTCAAAGTCGAAACGTGGAACACATCCATTGAAGTAAATAAGCTCCATTTTTATTTACAGTACTGTGTACTAGCTTAGATACAGAGTACCTATCAGATGAGCGACAGCTGAATAAGTCGGAGGCTTGTGTGGGAGCATGTGAGGTGGAACCAACGGGTGAAAAGCTGTAAGGAAGAATGACACTACTCGGTCGTCTAGGCGAAAGTGGTTTCGGCTGGGATAACCCAACTTGGGCTTTTGACTATAAGGCCTCACCCACGGTGCATTGGAAGAAGGTGGGAGTCTTGCCAGAGATCCCTCTCCCAGCTTCCGACCCAAATTTTGGACTGCAAGATGGCGTTAATTTGGGTTTCCTCGAGAGGTACACCCCGTAAAGAATCATCAATCTGACCGCTTGTTTGGCTCGAGGGTGCAGGCAGTGCATGACCGTCTTACTTTAAATGCGGTCACGCATGGTGGGCGCCTTTTGAGTCAATATGGTTTGTGGGAACTGTAGCGTAATTCGTAGTATGCACCAATGGATTGAACACAACCTAGTGAATCGCTTACTTTGTTTTGTTGTTTTGACAAATACGTATTATCTCAACGTCCGTGACTTCGCTACCCCCGTTGTTGAGCGCTTTGTTTAGGTGCGCGGTTATTGTTTTACCAAAATGCATAGAGTACCACTTCTACCTAGGTGTTGAATCTCAGTATGGAAACCTCGTCCGCATCGACCTTAGTCTTAATTACCGAGAAAGATAGAGAAGCCGGGTTGTCAAATAGTTTAAAGGTTACAATGAACTCTCATGGAATCGAAAGACCCATTTGCACTTTCGAGTAGGTAAGGGCGTCGGTCTCGGGCTATACTGTTTGCTGGAATTGTTTACTACATTAACAAAGACGACCAACCAGAGGCGGCGCACCTTAAAACAGAACATTTGATCGCGACACACAAACCTTTTATATCGCATGCCAACACCGTCCGTTAACCTTCGTTGCAGATCTTCTTAATCCTCACTTAATCACTCAATTCGAGAATTCTTAAAGAATTCTCTTAAACCAAGAAGTTTATCTCTTTTCCTAGCCCTTACTGAGTATCTCGAGGAGCTAGCCAACACTCGGAGACCCGTATATTATTTGTCCAAACAAACAAGCCCAGTGGGATTGTCTGAATCGATAGAGCAGACACAAGGCACAATAACTTCTTGATCTTACCAGCCCTAACACCACTTGTGAGCTGCAATTTCACTGAGTCACTCGGGCAATCACTCGGCTGACGTAGGGGCTGGCGAGTCAGTAAGATAGGGTGAAAATCCCTCATAAGAATCGAAAATTCGGGCTGAATCTATTACCACAATGAGGACTTCTGTGTCAGTCTACAAACTACCAGCACAATGCTTCATGCACGGCTTTTTAGTAATGCATAGCCGCTGTGTATCGGCAACACTAGCATCGCCCGCAGACAGAAACCGTGTAAGCAACCGGAGAATACACAGTAGGAAAAAATCCTACAAAGGGCAAATATAGGATGTAACTGTAATAAGCACTTGAGAGCACTGAAGTGTATATGAAGCAATATCAGGTCATGATTTGGTACTAACATTCTCGGGCGCTTTTCATAAACTATCCACTGGTTACCTAAATACAAAAACCCAGATGTTGTGGTGATAGTGATACTCGAAAATTCGCCAAACTACTTAACTTATCTAATACGAAGGCACATATGATACCGAACAAAAATGCTCACCTTGGAAATGTATGAAACTACCCTCGAGAGCAGGACCAACTATTCATAATCTCGTGGCCGAGCGATCGCGACCAAGCGGCCTTCAGGTGATCGATTAAAACAAGGAAGCCCAAAAGGCTCCCCGGTCCTAGATACGACTAGGGAGCCAAACGATTGATAGGATACTGACTTTGGTTACTCAGACATGGTGTAGTTGAAAAATAAATAGAGGATAATGGGCTCAAGCCACTTGTGATGGTGTATAGTGATATTAGTTTTATTAGTCGATCACTTAAAAACCTTGAATGGTGAGAAAGGAGTACAGGAAGCGTAGGGCAAGTTTGGAGCGAAACCGGCTGAGACTAAATATCAAAGTCCGTGAGGAGGGGGTGAAAACTGCATTATCTTGAAGTGTTTCCTCAGAAGGAAATGATTTCATTTTGGACGCCTGGTTCATCTGTGTTGGGAGAGACAAGTTCTGTGTCTCTTGGGTCTTCTGTTCGATGAGAACGCGATAAATCGGTAATGGGTTGCAGATTAAAGTAGTTATTGCGTGTGTACTAGGCGATCAGGCGGTACTTTGCAAACGGCGACAGATTTGGCTTTAATACCAACTCGCTGATGCGGACTTTCGCAGCGCAACAGATTTTTACGTGCGTTGCGCTGTACATTTCCGGGCATACTGAAATCACGCTTCCCTTAGGTGGCGACATTATACCGCTGTATTCCCGTAGTGGGAAAATACGGCACGGTGAACTTGTTATTGTCTAGGTCGCGAAATGTTCTGCGATGAAGGTTAACTAGCCTCATTTCTATCAGCGCTGTGGTACATCTGAGGCAGATTTTCACAGATTGGGATGATGGTATTGCCGACCTCCAAGTCATTGGGAGTGACCGCAACAATGACGATGGTGTCGGTTTCCACAAACAGTGATGATCAACTGTTTCTCCGATACTTATCTGGATATTTTTGATGGACTTCTGGCAGGGTGGTCCAGACGTGTACGTGAATGGTTTGCCGTAAGCTACGAGGATTGCTGCGCCATATTTTGAAGTCTTTCGCTGAATTTCAAAATGCACGTTGAGTTGGAGCCCTGGCGCAAATTAACTTTGTTGTAGGCAGTTGAGCTATTCCCTTTGATAATGCTGGATGAAATTGGGAGCAATCTGCATGGTGAGTGCTGAACGCTAAAGTGCTCTGTTGGAGTAGCTCACAGCCTGAAAATTTTTTCGATTAAACCAAAACGAAATCTAATAAAACACACTGAGTGGCAGTATTCTTTGTAGCGGCCAAAGTGAGATTAGAGGTTGGGAGGTTTGTATTCGTGTGGCGGCAGTAGGATGGGATAAAACCATGTTGAGCCGGTTTATTAGTCGAAACGTACGTAAGCCACTGAACATGGACTCATCTCCGACGGGTCCCACAAACTAACCGGATAACATTTGCTTTTAAAGATAGATAGTATAAGATAGGGTGTGTTTTCGCGAGCCCTAACTGGGGAGTACATTAGAGAAGGAAATGAAAGTGGTAAGTCGACATAAGAAACCAGTCCATCGGCACATTTCCGTTTTTTATGGGTTGGTGGTGTCCCCATAAGCAGAACTGCCCCTGTGAGGGTGGCTAGATATCTATTGGAACCAGTTCTGATCAAGGGCTCAGGATTCCATTTTCCAGCTAACTCTTGCCCAACTGTACATCTTAACGTACGTAGATTTGTGATGATAATGGCCTGCCTGGGTTGGCTTCATTGACTTCAAAGACTGGTGGCTGTTCCTATTCACTGACAGTTTTCTATTTGAAAGACCATTTTAAAGCTCAGAAAGCTACATACAAATATTACAGGCACTGGTTTTTACCGCCAGTAACCATCAGAAATGTCAGATTTCCGAAAATAACACCAGAATACCACGAATCTACTGATAGCCTCATACTCCACCAGAATCCCCATAGTGAATCCACCAAGCGTCCAGGCCAGCCAATCACTCAATCAATTCAGCCACAGTGAATGATCGTTCAGGCACTCCACATAGGCACGACCGACCCTGATAAGTTTTCAGGCATTTCATAGAGATCAGTTTTCACTAAACACTGATCGAACATTCTGGACCAATGTCAAGAAAGTCCTTTTAGATTGTGCGTTGGCTCTGTAATTTTGATGGCAACAAAGCTGTTGTATCATTTGTCAGCGAGCCTTTTCCCGGCTTTAATTACTGGGGCGGAGACAGACGTCAGACATAGCACTAACACTCAAGTTCGTGCAATTGACGCGCTCTAAGCGTTCCTCCTGATAAGATTCCGGACATGGCACTGTAGGTTATGCTCTAAGAAGCACCAGCATTTCGGGCAGGCATCGCATACACATCAAACCCAGTAACTCTCAACTGATATTCTCAATCCAAACCCTTATTTCGTGGTCACCAAGTCACTAAAGTGACCTGGGGCTATAAACTTGGGCCGCGCGGTGAGATACCCGTCTTTCAGATTAGGCACAAAATGAGAAAATAATTAAAATTAGAGCATTTTCGGATAGACATGGACGCTCTATGGGTCACATAAAATCTCAAGCAGAGAAGTGTGACAGCATATTTCTAATTTAAGCCAAAAGCTCAGGAGCCAAACAAACTTACTCTGAGGCGGTGACAAAATCGCTTAATTCCAGGGATTGTTACCTAGCACACTTGTAATTTTCATCGGACACACCATACCACAAAATATCCTAGAGTTGCTTAGCTTTTATATGCCTAACGTGTACTCAGTAAGTTACCATCAATCAGGTGCCCTTCTGTAACAGATTCACTAAGCAAGAATATAAATTGGAGGCCCTCTGTACCGACATTGATCACTCCTACTTGCTTATGCTAACGGCGTTGTTACAAGATTTTGCACGGAACCTTACTTGTTTCGAGGCACATTTATTTATTTCAGCATCTCGGTTGATGAGAGGGGACGCAAGTGAAATTTGTATTCTTTTTTGCATCTCTACATGGACTCCGCAGTTGCACCAAACGCTTCCTCAATACGACCATATCAGCTTAACCATAACGATCATTTATTGGTTACGCGATTTTTTTCATACTAAAAAACCACAGTCCACCCTGTTGTGAAAATTTATTTCAGGGCACGAGTGAAATTTGACACATGCCATTTTCTTTTCCCTGTTAAATGTCGGTTTATTACAGTTGAAACGATTTCTACTTCTGAACCTGAAATGATTAACACTGCGGATAGCCTATCATCTTTGCAACTAGGTTGCATAGGGCTTTCAAGTGCCCCATACACCGCTAAGTGCTTCTCCAGGTTTGAGGCTCATTGAGTCTACTGAACATGTGTAAACTTGTGTTGATCAGAAAACGCTAAGATGCACCACCAAACATGAATGTACCTTAGAGAATAATGTTTCAAACACTTCTGCCTGTTTAAATACATCAACTTGCAAGACCCAATCACCATGTCATTATCAAAAAAGGACGCCATAATAAGGCTTCTGATACGAAAGTAGGTCACCCAAATCACCTGAAAATATTGACAAAATTCTCCGTTACCTACCGCTCTTCGGTTAAATTCCGAACTGAAGTCATCTCGCCGCTTGCATTTTTGCGCAACTACAGCAAAGAAGTCCGATACGCGCGTGACTGTGCAAAATATGGGACCGCTTGCAGGCCCAGCATCAATTCGAGTGCCAGCTGGCCGAAATTCCGGACCCGACGCGTGCACATTGCCGGCTGCCAAAGGCGCACCTAGATGCCGGGATTTCCGGAATATTGTTTTCAAAAATGCACTTTATATCCACCAAATTGAATGTGTGTTTTGACATGGTTTTGGGTGTCCGTGAGCGTTGTCTATCCTTCATGATTTTTAGGGAAAAACGCTGGCTAAGAAGGCTTACAGTGAGAACAAATCTTCGAAAGTACCGTCATTATAATTGGCGAAAAGGAAAATCTTCGTACCGTCATTATAATTGGCGAAAAGGAACCTGCGAAGTCTTTCGAATCAATCCACCTTAGAGAATTATTGTAGCAGCGACAAACATAATTTGAAGAAGCGCAATTAAAGCTTACTGACTCACCAGCGCAGATACCGCATATCCAGACACAAGCAGCTAGTACCACTGAGTCTTCTCATTCTTCAGGAAATGCATATGACTCAGTTTCAACCCCGTCTCTAATCACGAATGGGTACTTTTCACCACTATTGCGAGAACATGTTCAAAACGAGTTTTTTTACAGCTTAATGACGAATGTGAAGTCAGGTTCTTACTGCAAAAACCCTGTACGAAAGATATACAAACTTCATCCTCCGTTGGCTGCCTTACAAGGAAACGGACAGAACCCTGTCTGAGACATTTGGCGTTCAAATACCATTGCTCGCTATCCGTCGCCAATGCCCCAAGCTTGTTAGGAATGATGAGAAATATTTCATCTCCTTTACCGATGCTATCAGGAAGGACCGCGGGCATCCCAAGCCCAGCCTAAATATGATAATCTGCTCAGGTGCTTGCTTCACATACCTGGTCTTTGGTCAACCCGCGGTTTGAAAATTCAAATATAGCTGTTTCACAGAGCTGAACAGGATGCTAAAATGACGCCGCATGTCGTACCCACCAATTATCAATTCTTTATCAGTGTAAGGACAAAATCGATGAGTCGAGCAACGAACACCGAAGAATGGATCCGAATTCAAGACGTAAGCGATCCCGACAAAAATGTGCTGTACTGCATAACAAAATATCAATAAATCAGTTAATGTACAACAAACCTTGACAGTTATCGTTCGGCAGTCAGAACCACGACAAACACGGAGACAAGTATCAGGCGTGAGAAACCAGTTCGAAAGGTGCCCAAAATGTGAATTTAAACAAGTGATAATACGGTTCATTTTAGAAACCAACAACATGTTCATAGTTTGTGCAACGCAATGTTTTAATGGATGGGATAGAGTCTTCAGTAAGCACTTGTGTCTGACTTGTAAGGTGGGTAGTTATTCCTTCATCCACCTTTTCCAGAATACATCAACTAGATAGTTCACATGTTTGCATTTTCTAGTGAACT